GACAACGCATACGCCTTGTTCATCACACCAGTTAATTTTGGTCAATTTCGAAACCCAGTATTTAGTGCTGATCCTACATAGATCTACTAGTATTTGGTCACTCTTTCAACCCAAATAGTTCAATAAGCTAACCACAACAGCTCTGGAAAGGCCTCTAATGAGATCCCCTTTGGCAATATGCTTGGTCATACTACTAGTAGCTAGTGTGGTTAAGAAGATTCTTGCTGTGTGTCATTGTTACACGATTAGTAGTACTAGTMCTAGTAGAGCCCACCAGGGGGGAGCYRATTCTCCATTAGTAACAGCCTGTATGGCCAAAATTGGCCATTGGAGACCAGCTGTTTTTGGATAGAAAATAGGCCAAAAATCCTCTAACAAAAAACAACTCTAGACCACCAGACAAAGAAGCGCCCAGTCCAAGAAGTTGATAGTAGCTAAAATTACTTTAAGATCCATCATGTCATTGGGAAGCCAGAGGATGCTCTTGCAGCTTAGAACTAGTCAGCCAAAGTTACAGTAGTGGGTGGCTGAAAATCTTTAATTCTAGGGATAATTATACACTGATTAAACTTTTAACTTTGGAGGTCTGATATAAATGTGACGTTACTCGTGCAGCACATTSTTTCTGAATTTCTCTTTTTCGCTGCTACAAATTGTGTTTCGTGATGGCGTAGAAAGCCAGACAGCAGTTGAGTTGTCGGAAACGAATATCGTCGARAGAGCCAGCCAGCCATTTAGCTCCAAACGTGCCAAATGCCAATACCGGTACAATTGACAACAATTTACGTAGTACTATTACTGTACGGTACTCTACTGTACTTTCGTATTTTTCTTTTGGTATCTGCCCCAGTACGGGTACGTACGCGCTCCTGTACTGTAATTATTTTTTATTTGTTTTATTTTATTGTTACTACCGTACGGTAGATAGTGCTTGTTATTTGTTTTCTTMGGCATTTCTGTAAAAGCTCGAATGCGTAAGGTAATGTACTGGAGGGATCTATGAGCCCTTCTGTACGATAGTGAAGTTGTATCACGATCGTCAGAATATTAGTCTGACATCACACAAGAACTCTCTCAAGAAAAATGCTCACATCAAAGTTCGAAATCAGAAAACAGGGGTGACACCTCTTTTTGCTTTCAATTATTTGCATTTTCTTCCCGATACTCAAGATTGGCAATACGGACGACACTTCAGTACCAAGTTCTCTTTTGGGCATCATTGTTGAAGTGAACAATCCTGTAGAGCAGTATCAGTTATCRTCGCAAGATGAGAGCACCAAGTTTAGAASTCTTCATCCTCGCACTTGTCYTTGGTTCATCATGGAACGGGAAGAAATCGTTGTCGGAAGCATTGTCGGCGTCAGACTCTCAAGGGGGTAGAGCTTCAGGAAAAAGTACCGCCATGGAGGATAAACCAAGAACTATCTCTACTGTCCATTTGGGTTATCAAGACAAAGAAATTGACATATTTGTTCCAGGGAAGTGGAGTCGTCACTCTTCGGCAAACGTCGGTAGTGAGAGGCGGTCTAGAAATGACCACAGAGGTCCATCTGACTTTGCCCTTTCGAAACTTATTGCGCATTCTCCAGGCCTAGTGGACGAGCGCAACGTGCTTGAGCTTGGCTCTGGTCTGGGTATGGTGTCGGCTGTTGCTTGTAAATATTCTCGAGCCAACCATGTCGCGATTACAGATCGCGATAAATCTCTCYTATCACTAGCATATGCTTCCTGTGTACAACTCCAGCGGTCGAAGGCGAGTGTATCTAGATGTTGCATGGATTGGAAAAAGCCTTCTACTTGGCCACAGCAAGATTATGATATGCTTCTAGGTGCTGACATCTTACACGATAAACGAAGTATTTCGCCGCTGGTAAATGTTATACAGCACTATCTGTGCAACGGAGCGAAAGCYGGAGCTAGGAAGCAAGCTGTGATTGTCGACCCTGTAAATCAGGTCAATAGAAGTGATTTTTTCAGTGCAGCAAGAAGAGCAGGATTGATCGTTGATCAAACAGAATTTCCGGGGTCGCCAGATCAAGTGCTGTTGAGCATTTCTCCGTCGGATTTCGGCGCAAGATAATATTACATACTTTGTTTTCTTGCTGTCGATTTTGTTTTCAATAGTAGTTAAATCCATTCACCTATGTAACAAAGTCGTTGCCATCCATCCTTCCCTTTATTTCTGTGTTGCTAGTAAGACTAATTTTCGTCAGATGTCACACTCCTTTGGATAAATTCAAATTGGTGCCCTAAGCCATTTCAATTAGCAATTTGTTCTCATAGTCTTTCTGGACGGATTGGAATAACACTTTATGGAATAACAGAATTATAGGTTGATGAATCACTCAAAATAAACCTCAAAATCGATTGCATTTTTATTTCGTGGTCCTCCAATATGGCACTACAGGCCACGTTGGTAAAAATTCCTTAAGATATTGCATGTCAGAGTACGAAGACAGCACTCCCGGCTCAGCCAAGCTTTCTTCGTACTCTTCCTTCGATGCATGGCTGAACACCCTGGATGATATCGCCCTTCGATCAGGAGAGTCAGATGCACAAAATTGGTCGAACATACGCAGTACCCGCTCTTTCAGCTCTTCAGGCGATTTCCGTTTGCTTCCAATCAGCGTTGTATCAGAAAGACCCTCCGACGTTGGGTTCAGTTCATCTGCTAATTTATCTAGACGATCAAACGAAGGTGTCTTTAACCGATCGTGATTCGCTTCAGTAGCGGCAATTTCATTCCACCACGAGCCAACTTCAGATGACAGTTTTCTGTCTTCTTCCATCAGCTGCACAACCACACCTCGGGCTTCTGTCGCAAAAAGCTCTGGAGACTTCCCTTCCAACTCTTCCCGAAATGTTTTGAGCCATTGTTCGATACGTTCTTCTAGGTGCTTCGGAGGCTTGCTACTACTTTGTACGACCATGGTTAAGCCCCAAGTACTTCCAGCAGTCTTTCGTGTGTACACACTTACAATATACCCGAGCTGCTCTTTGGTACGAAGCTGGTTGTATGCGGAACTGTATGCTAGGTGACCAATGAGATCAAGAATTCCGATGCCTTCGTAGCCAAGACTCGCGTCAGATCCRAATTGCAGAGTCATTTCCACAGCGTTATTTTCTTCTGATGGACTTGACGCTAATTCCTGATACTTGACAGGAACCAGTTCTTTTTTGACCTCTGAACCAAAAATATACTCTGCCTCAGCTCTTGTCGGAAGCTTCATAGACCTGAACCCTGGTGATTCTGCAAAATTGAGAGGCCTTGATTTGTTAATGAAAACGCGATTGATCACATCAACCACTTCTCTAGTACCCTTTTCATCAATATTGCCAATGCACATGGCCTCCGCATTTAAGCGTGATGTAAGTGACTCTTCTGCAACAGCAGCACACTGCTCCATCGTCAATGGATCCTTATCAGCTTGTTTTCCTTCCAATAAATCAACATAATTGTCAATGTACCACACGTTTTCCTCCATCAAGAGTCTTGAGTTGTAGTTTGCAACTTCATAAGGGTTGTCCAGTCGATCTATGATACAACGAGCGAATTAAATTTTGAGAAATATAGTTCATAGTAAACCTTTAACTCGCATGGATGAAGAAAAAAATGAAACGTTTGAATTTTACTCACAATTCTTTGTTTCACGCAGGAGACTCTCTTTCGCCTTTTCAAAACGATCGTACAAAGCAGGATGCATATCTTTCCCTTCTTTCAGTTCTTTAATCAAGCTCAACATCCTCGAAGTAAGTGTTTCCAAAAGAATTGGTAACTTTTCAGAGTAACCCCGAACAGCAATTTTGTACCCAGTGGGAGTACAGTTGATGCGATAATTACATCCAGCGAGGCTTGCGTCGTATACAAATGAATTCAAATCATCATTCAAGACTTTCTGGTATATCCTGCTTAGTGTCATTGACTTCGGTGATTCGTAAACCCTTGGGGTAACTAGGGATAGACGTATGAAAGTCTTAGGTACCCTCCAAAATTGATCCATTTTATGCCACATGCGAAAGTTTTCGCTTTGGTGAAACATTGTGGGGGGTTCAGATTTAGTGCGTTTCCTTTCTGCCTCAGTCATTGAATCTCCCGAGTCTTTGCATCGCAAGGAAAAGTCAGTAGGTATGTATTCGTTCAATGCAGGTACATGGAGCTCGGGATGTATTTCTGCTGGATTCTTCCACAGTTTGACTTGATCCTCGTCAAAATTACTTTCACGGTAGACTGCGCCGTACAGAGGTTCGACTGACCATTCGTCGGGATTTTCTTGTTTCAAATCAGAGTCTACAATATTAATCATGCAATTTTGAGGGCGAAGTCGATCCAAGAATGCTGCAGCTATCGCTGGATCGTACTTTTCGCTTTTTGATCCAGCGACAAGGATTTCTTCTGGACGAACAGTTTCGAACATTAGATCCGATGCCGAGGAGCAGAAATCTGTTGGATCTCCTTGTTCACGAAATTTAAAATTGGTCATACTGATCTGCTGGAGTTCATCGTGATATCTTTCCAACAACTCTGGTTGTTCGGTAGCTACATTTTTTATCAACGAAAGCCATTGGAAGATAAGATTGAGCACTTCGTCCTTGGCTCGCATTCCTTTCGGGGTCAATGCCAGTGACACGCTGAATAATGAAAAATCAGACGCATCTAGTGCCGCACCAGAACTCAAGCCCGTGATGTAACCATTATTGTTCAATAAGTGGTGCAAAGAACCAGGTGACTCGTGTCCGATCAAATGAGAAAGTACGCGATGCGGTCTTGTTTTCCTGAGTACCGGGTCATAAATTGGCGGAGTGACAAACTGAACTTTGAGCGTACGACTTTCTAATAGCGGGATAACTTGACGGAACTTGCCTATCTGTTCAGGCCCAAAGGCTGGATTTTCAGGATCGTGCACTGCATTTTCACGGGGAAATATGGGAGACAGAGGGTTTACTTTTTCGCGCCGAGGGGGTTCATCCGAGAGAGCTAGTTCGCCAAAGGTCTCTTCCACTGTTTTTTGGAGAGCATCCAAGGAACTGCATCCTACTACAGACAGACGCATGTTCGATGTTGTGTAATATTTTTTCCAAAAGTTCTTCAACTCTTGAACCGGGCTTCCGAGTGAACTAAGTGTTTCATAATTTCCGCAACCAAAGTTTGAAAAAGGGTGTTTTTGATTTGACAAGGATTTCAGTAGTTGGTAATTGCGCCAGGAGTCACTTGTCTTTCCATTTCGATACTCAGAATCGATGGCACGGAGTTCACGTTCTACCATATCGGGGTCGAAAGTTGGATGTATGAAGAATTGTGCCAAGCGATCTAAGCCACCCTTCAGACCCTCACTGGTTTCATTGGTGTCGACTTGCTGACTCGTTACACTAAAATAGTAATTGGTGTCTTCCATATCAGTGTAGGCGTTGCAAAATCCTCCGTGTTTCGAAAGAAATCCTTCGTATTCGTCTTCTCCAGGATATTTCTTCGTACCTAAAAAGAGCATGTGCTCATGAAAATGTGCCAAACCGGCAATAGTGTCGTCAAAGTGCCCAGCCTGCACGTGGACAGATGCCGCCTCGACTTTCGCACCACTATTATTGCCACCACCATTGGCCTTGTCCGAAGCCGTGCTGACCAAGAGAACCTGGAGGTTGTTCTCCAGTTTGATCCAACGGTACTCCGACATGTCCCGTTCCGGTTTGACGAAGTCGGTGTCGGCAGCCAGAATTTCGGTTTTCCTCGAAGTGGACAACAGTTCTTCCTTGTTTGTCGCGTTTTGTGCTTCGGCTATCAATGTCTCGGCTTTGGCTGATCGAGCGGTCGTTCTCAAACTTGGACTGTGACTCCGTGTACGATGAACATCGGTATGCGATTTGGCCCTCGAATTCGATTTGCTAAAAGAGGGGAGAGAGGACCGCCTCAGCGAAGGCGACGAACAGTACCGGTCGCCACCCTTTGTCAGCATGGAACAACTTGTTTTCGAGCGAAGAAATGAAATCGCATTTTTTGAGCCCACAACTGCGGGCCGAATAGCTACAAAAGATTGACTCGCTGAAACGAAGAGGAAGAAGACCATCAATCTCATTGTGGAGTGTTTCGACATCGCTCGCAGAAATGGTGTGAACGTGACGACCGTCGTATTCCAGTGCACACTTCCAAGTGATGAGGCAAACAAGCAAAGATCTTTCCTTTTCTTTCTGAAATTCCTGACAATGCTTTATCACAACGGTGTAACTTCCTCTTTCGGTCTTTCCTGTTCTTGAAGCAGAAAAGAGGAACAAACGGTTCCAGGTGCAAGTAGGGTACTTTAAAGAACGAAGTGGTGTAGTTCGAGGAGGGTTTGGTTACTGGTTAGTGTATGATACGAGTACCGTGCCGTACGTAGTACGTAATGTAGTACAAGATAGGAAACCGTACGGTAAAGTACTGCCGTCCATGCCACATGTCGGAACACAGTACGTACGTACGGGTACTTTACTCGTACCCTGTGGTATCGCAAACGTGCGAGAAAGCACAGGAACAAAAACCCGAAGAAAGTTCGTCTTCTTTCTACGAGAATTGATGATGATTTTCAGCGCTCCGAGCTGTGAGTCAGCGAATACCAAGACTGAATCAGTCCCGGGACATAATCTCATTTGAGCTCCAGTACTACTATAAGAGTTTGGAGGACATAATACTACTTAAAGCTCATACTACTAGTAGCAGCAGTAGTTCTAAAGTACAAGTCATAATGGTTGTAGCCACTACTAGCTAGCACCACAAAAGCTGCAGGTCCAACAATATCTCCCCAGAGAAGCCCCTTCTGCTGGGTGGTGGGGGTGGATGATGGTTCCCTCGTCATCCACTAGTAGTAGTACTAGTACTAGTACTAGTACTACTTGTATGATCCAGGGGACTGGCATCATAATTTACTTTAGAGGGGTGCTGGTGCTGAGGAGGATGCATTGTTACTACTAAGAGCAACAAGAACAAATGACTTCACCATGAGTAATACATTGTTGCTTGTTGTAGTAGTACTAGTAGTACCTTGTTGCAAGGAGAAGAAAAGTTAACTCCTCACCATGACTAATAAGATTGCAGGGCAGTTGGCTTTTAACATACTGGTGATGGCACACACCTTCTCACACCTCATCCTGCACAGAATTCTCAGGTAGTGTTCTTCTATTTTTCTGAACCATAATTTAATTTTTCCCTTCAGTAATGGTAAAAAACCTCACATACACCCAAAAAAGACACAAAGGCAAGGAGTTATGACTACAACACTGTGACAGCAATAACACACATACAGTAAATGCACCCCTCCCCCCAATCACCACTGTCAATTTAATTGGAACTAATGTCAGCAATCAATCTACTTCTCACTTTGTAAAATCATATATTACATTGTCACCCATTTATCCTGCAACTTCAAGAGCAAGTTTGTAACTACTACTTGTTGGGCTCCCCAGAGATGTATTTCTGTAAATTTGGAATCAGGATTTTCTTTCTACCACCAATAATTGTTGATGACTGTTTTCTGCATCAACAGCTTCATTCTTCCATTTGGAACTACTTTCTGAATCAGGATTTTATTTCCACCACCAAGAACTGTTTATTACCACCATTTCTGGTATCAAGAACTCTATTCTTCCGATTGCAATTCTCACTCATTATTATCTTCTCTTGTTTTGTACCAAATACTAAAACAGCAAGTTCTTCTTGCTGACAATCACCCAACATGACACAAAACTAGTACATCCTTGTCATGGCATTAACATTGTTGCTACACCAATCATTATGGAGGATGGCTCCACAGTTAATTTGTAAACTACTATATTTTTGTATTTTTCAATTTAATTGAGGGGAGACAGGTAGTAAGAAGACAGGATAAAAAACAAAGAACAAGGAATATACAGGGCACCAACCAGTGACTGGCAACATTAATAGCAATATTATTACTAGATTTTGATACCACTTCCTCATCAGTATCAATAAGCAGTTAGACAGTCAAACAATTCATATTTAATAAAAAAGCATGATTGTTCCTCCACAACACCTCCTTGGAGGGAGGCACTGCCCCTCAGAGCAGCTACTAGGAGTATTCTCTTCTCCAGAAGTTATGGTTCTGGCCAACATGGTGCCTCTTGTAGTTCACAAGTTTAAATATAATATTAGGATTCTTCAAAATTTAGTAAAGGAGCATTTAGTAGGTCCCATAGCTTCTTGCAGATTTGAAAAAATCTGCCATTGGCACAGTTGCAATGTTGTGGTAATTGAATAGTAGTGTACCATTCCTGGTGAGGAGCTTTTTGCAAGACCTTCTTGTTGTTGCTCTATTGTTTCTTACTCTAAAAGGTGTTTGAGTGCACTATCTGAGTCTACTATCAGATCCATAGGCTTCTTGGTCAAAAGGATCATATGTAATCATTTTGTGAGCCAGCCTTTGCCTGACCTCACAATAACTCATAACCCTCTCAAGTTTCCAAAGCTCACCTAGACTTCCATCTGCGCACTCCCTGCTGTACATATCATAAGCTGTTGCAATTGCCAAGAAATCTGTAGTGTGGCTTACTGCAGCATGGTAGTATTTCCAATATTTGTAACCAATGTTAGCTTGTGTGATATATCTTATAGTGTGGCCACACATTCCAGGATGCGCCAATCATAAATTTTGAATGCTGTATATTCATACATGTATATCAATAAATACCACTAGGACCCACCAACTCCCCCATATGACTAGAATCCTGTTTAAATTTGCTTTTGATTTATGTGCCTACCATACTTGAGCGTCCATTGGGGACCAAGTTATAGCTGTCAGCATGAGTTGACCCTCTCATAATTTTTGATTTATTTTTGTACTGTGCATCAATTTTGGTCCCTCATTTTACTGTGTAATGATTCATGGGATTAAAAATTCACACTTGTACTAGTACCAGTACAGCAATTACATGTGTTGAAGCAAATATGATCAGTTGGAGCATGTTTATGCAAAACTATTTGGTCACACACTGATGGGACTCAAAAATTCAGCACATGTCTAGCTATAAACGGCAGTACAAGTCAGCTTTTAGTCAAAGTACTAGTCATTACATGCAAAATAAGTGCCCAAAATCTAAGACTGTGTCATACATTTCCAAGCCATGTCTATATAATATACATTGATGTGTCCCAGCTTGCCGTACCATACTAGTAGCTATACAAGTACAGCTTCCTTGACTCAATCATTTCAATCCCCCACCTCTGTTTGCCTTACCCCATTCCTCTTTCCTCCTGGTATAGATAGGGGGTAGAAGAGGAGGCAGAGTTAATAGACCCAAGATTACAGACACCTTTGTTTTGGAATGAACAATGAACACTCCTGTAAGCTTTGGTTCCTTTCTCAGGATCAGCTTCAACAGGCTTTGCCAATGTGATGGGCTTTGCAAGACAGGATGCCTTTTCTCTGCATTTTGCATTTGCATCTCCTAAAGCATTCTTGTGAGGGAGTCTATTCTTTGCCAGAGTTCCCATCATCCCCAATCCTTGGTGCATACCCATCCAATCCAAGATGGAGTCTGAGAGGAAAAGGTTATCAGCAGTGCCACGAGGGGGTGGTTGCCACAGCTTGCCAGGTTCAATATTACTAGGAAGAACAAAGGCCTCAACAATGTGATGAACTTCAGCAGGACCTGTACAAGAGTGTCTTGGGTCACTACTGTTCCATCCACAATATCTGTACTTCCAAGCTCTAGGCCTGATCCTATCTTTGTCCACCACAAGTAATCATCTTCCCTTTGAGACAATTCACAAGGGGACCTCCAAACCCTTGGTAGGACCAACTAGTCTTGTCAATACAAAGATCTAAGCCAGCCATGTCAGTGAAATAGTTGTTGTTGTTGACAATATTGTAGTAGATGAAACTTGTAAGCACCTCTACCATTGTGTGATCTGGGGAATGACATTTCCAAATCATTCTTTTGGAGCTTCAAGTTCCTTTTATTATCATGCCAACTTCTACAACCCATAGTATCTGCAATGTCCGCATTGAAGGAAAAATCCTTGGCATCCTATCTGAACTTAGTGTTTTCACTTGCTTCTTTGCAAGCACAATGCATAAACAACTGTACCATCCCAGCCAAGATAATGAATCTTCCATCAGGTCTCCTTATGCTCACAAGCAGGTTTGTTGCCAAGGCCAGCTAATTGACCACCAGGAACTTTCATAGCATCCAGAAGGAAGATAGTGTCATTTATACTTGCTTGACCCTTTCTCAAACTTAGGTCAAAAGTAATATGGATGCCAACCACCTGGATGTTGACATCTACCCTGTCTTCAGGTTCTTGATCTTTGTCAACATTTGCATCCTTCTGCTTGCTACCCTCAGTGACCTTCTTGGGTTAATTGGAACTTGTGTCAACAATAGTTCCATCCTTCCAATAAAAAACTCAGTATCAAGAGGCTCAACAGCATTCATCCCATCAAAAGCTTCCTTCTGGCTCTGCGTGATTTCATTGAACATCTCGTTTTTTCATGTTCCTTGTTGCTCATTTCTGAATTATCAGAATCACAATTGGGTGTCTGGGCTCAGTGTCTTCAACAACCTCCCCTTCATTTGAACTGCCACTGCCATCCTCAAATAAAGTATCAAGAATGTCTGATTGTGGTTCCTGCTCCTCCACAAAGGCTCTCATGGTAGCTCCTCTTGTTGTCCTTGTTGACCTTGCCAGTGTCAAACACTGCTGGTTATGTTGGATACTAGTGGCATTAGTGTTGTTAGTGTTGCTGAGTCCCACTGACAAAGAAGGGGAGGGGGGGATATCCTTCATTGGTTGCTGGTGTTGTTGCCAATTTGTTGTTGATACTTGCTGGTGTTGATAGCTGATGCTGTTGCTAATTAGCATTGCTTATTAGCAATGGTTCCAATTATTTGATTGCTTTTCTTGATCACAAAAAAATGTGATCCAATCTGATCAAGAAATTACTGAATTTCTTGATAACAATTTTTTTAATCAAATTTGGTTGCATTTTTTTCAAGAGATAGAGATTCATATATAAATTATACATGCATGAGTATTTCTTATAATTGTAGTACTGCTACTAGTGGTGTTTGTGTTAGTATTTGTAGTGCTGGCAGCACGTCCCACCTGTATCAGTTGTAGGAAGGCATAGAATGTACTTACAGGACTGCTGGTCTGCAAAGTACTACTAGTATTATGAATATTAAGATGTGAATATATAATAGTATTATAGGACTAGCATTAATTGTAAACAGACCATTTAAAGTTTGTGATTGATTTTGATCACAATCCAGTGATCACAAAATGGATTTTTTTATCACAAAGTTTGTGATCTAGATCCATCACAATTTTCAAGATCACTAGGGGGGGTCCGGGGGAATTCATATTTCCCCCAAAAATTGAAATCAACATGGTTGCTGGAATTCAATATCAATTTTTAAAAATGAGTCTCGGAACTCTCTTTTCCAATTATGTGATTATTTTTGTTCACAAAAAATGTGATCAAATCTGATAACAAAATTACTGAATTTCTTGCTGATAACAAATTTTTGTGATCAATTTTTATCACATTTTTCTCCTGGATGAGGATTCATATGCATCATCTTCATAAATGATTATTTTTATAATTGTCTGTTTCAGTAGGAAGGCATAGTATAGGACTGCTGGTTGTGGAAGGTATATTATACAGGACTGCTGGTGGTGGTCGTGTCCACAACTTCTACTAGTAGTAGTACTAGTAGTACTATTAGTACAACAGTGTTTCTTAAAAAATAGTATTGTTAACATATTAAAATACTGTATGAACAGCTACAGCTGATATAGTTTTGGGACTAGTAGTAGCAATTGTACATAGACTGGTTGAAATTCGTGATCAATTTTGATCACAATCCAGTGCAGTGATCACAAATGGATTTTTTTATCACAAAAAATTCAAGATCATACAGGGGGTCCCGCCCCGGGAACTCATACTTATTTCCCCAAAAATCGAAATCGACTTGGTTTTTGTTCTTCAAGAGTGAGTCCCGAGTCCCATGTTGTCACCACCAATCGAAAACCGATACTGGGTACTTTACGTACGAGTATTATGGTAGATCGAACGATAGAAACATAACTTCCGGGGCGTAAAAAGTTAGTAGTAGCTCTTTACCTTTTTCTAGTAACGTATCTTCTTGCAATCATCGAGGTGATTCTGAAAATTGAAAATAACAGCGTGTGAAACACTCCCTTCATTGAGTTCGTGCCGTGCCTTTCGATAACTACCGCAGCAATCGAGCATGAATTTTGATCAAACAATATGAACGATTCTACCAATAATGTCAACCTCCCTATTGTCAGAGACTTCGATAAAGTCTGTTTTGAGTATGGTGACAGAGATGCAATTATATTGCATGGATCGGATCCAGTGTCTTACTTCGAGCTTCAGGAGCATTCGAAGGCGCTATCGTATCAACTCTATCATCGCTTTGGTTGCCCCGACTACATATTGATTGACTGTSAGGAATTTCCTGTCGCAGAAGCGATCGCTACTCTAGCGTGTATGAGGATCAACCGTCCCTTCGTTCCAGTGTCGAGCATGGATCAGCACCGCCCCGGCCGAATGGACAAAGTTGTTGAGCTTCTATCAAAGAAAGGCAAAACCTATTCCTGTCGCAAATACGGCAAAGCAAACAGTTCACCATCTATTGTAGCCGTTGTTGTATGTGACAACGATCGCGATCCGCGTCTTTCTGTGTTTGAACAGGCAGGTGTACATCGGATTCTGTATCTCTCTCCGAACGGTGAATTGAGGGAGTGCCTGTCGGTTCCGGAAACTCTGCCTTTTATTGAGGATGAAACATCCTCACCACAGGATGACATGTATGTGATGTTTACCTCAGGGACAACCTCGCTGGCTGAATCAGGTACAATATCGAAGGCAAAGGCAGTGGTCGGCTCCCATCGGGCTACACACTCTCGCTTGAGTTGGTTTCTAGCTACATTTTCGTCGTCTCCAAGAATCGGGCGACGAACCAAATTGACATTTGTGGATGGTGTGACAGAATTATGGGGTGCACTATTAGATCCGATGAACGTTCTTGTATCAGTACCGCCCTTGCAACTCCGAGCTAGAGGTATTGTAGTACTCATAGACGAGATGAAGTGTTCACAGTTGCTGCTGTTACCGAGTCAAGCGAGCCAACTCCTTCTAGCCTCTTCGAACAATAATCCTTTTCCTCACTTACAAAGGGTCATTGTGTCTGGTGAAGTCTTCTCCCCTACACTTTTTGGTCGGTTTAGGATTCAGTATCCAAAAGTGCAACTTATTAATCTATATGGACAGACAGAAACTACAGGGGATTGTCTCTGTGCTGTGTTGACAGATCTGGGAGAGGCAGCAGTTGTCGATAACATTGTAGCAGTCGGAAAACCCATCATGTCCGGTTTTCAAATAACATTCCTGGATGACGAGGAAAACGAGGGAGATTCCTTGAAAAGTCAAAATCAAAAAAACGGAAACAAACAATTAGTGATCAAGGGATCGCATCTGTCGAATGGCTACTTAGGGGATTCRTCATTTTTCGACCATTTCATTCCTGGGGATATAGGGTTTCAACGTAACGGAGTTTATTACGTGCGTGGACGAGTCGATGATATTCGGAAGATAAATGGTGTATTGACTTCACCATCCGAAGTTGAGGCTGCATTTTGCAATACTTACCATGTTTCCGATTGCGCAACAGTCGCGGCAGTGATGCTTGGCAATGAAGTATACTTGCTTTGTACGAGCCAAGATGTGGTGCATGAGTTTTCGAGATTTGAGATGCATACCATAAAAGGTATTCCCCTGAATCTAATTCCAAAACAGGTCTTCTTTGTTCATGGAATTCCACGTAGCTCATCAGGGGCGAAAAAGATAGATCGAAACGCCTGTCTTAATTTGGTAAAATGTTATGTTGAACCGTCTAAGGAGAGACTAGAATTTTACAACTCTGATGCGTCTCTGAAGCGGAAGCCAAAAGGCACTGTTCTTTCTATCATTTCCGCTGTTCTTGGAGTGAATGAGTCTGAACTAGATAGGGACAAATCCTTTCTCGAGCTGGGTGGCGACAGTGCCTCTTCTATAACATTGCTCTACCGTATCCAGCAAGAAACCAGTCTCTTGTCCGATCTAAATGCAACCGATATACTATGGTCTGAAAGTTTGCACGAACTGGAGAACTTGATTACTGGTAAGGCCGAAAAGCCGAAAAAGACGAAAATGGAATCGGAAGGACATTTTCGCATATTGAGCAAATCCAAAAAGTTCGTCGCAGGGAATGCCGTCGTTGTCAATACTTCGCATCGATCAGTTTCGCTCCGGGCATGCGTCGATTCTGCACCTCTTCACGTCGACAATTCCATTGTTGCTGCTTGTCAAGGAGGAACTATCGTCAAATTCAACAGTATTGATGGTGTTATAGAAGGTTCCCGATACTATCCTGGCTGGATGTTCCAGGCCGACTTGTTATTACTAGAACCAAGTACTTTGCTTGTTGCCGGTCACTCCCTGTTGAACAGAGGCATCGTACTTTGTTTGACTCAAGACCTCAAGGAAGAAAAGTGGAAGATAGAATTTGACGGTTCTGTTAAGAGTCGTCCAATTCTGCTTGGCGACAAAGTTTGGATTCTTGCTGGCAAAAAGCTTTGTAGTGTCGACCTTACAACAGGGAAAGTGCTAGGTGAAGAATTTGACTTACCGCGCACACCCTGTGTGTCAAATCCGATTACTATCACTGACAAAGATGGGCAGACTTCCATCGTTTTTGCTAGCTCTGACTGGGAAGGAGGTATCATAGTTCTAGATGTACAAAAGCTCGAGTCGAAAATTTACGTTGACTGTGAGATTGGACCTGTTCACAAAGATGTCTCAGTCACAAAAAATTCTCGGGAAATTTTCATTTCTGATATTTATGGAAGTCTTCACGTCCTGAATATCAAAACCATGAAACTTGCGGCATCTATCCAGCTATCACATAGCCCACTCTCTGCTGCCACGATAATTGATGAGAGTACAGTTGTTGTAGGGTCGTACAATGGACAAGTTTATTGTGTAAGATATGACGAGAAACAGAGCCAGCTAGTGAAGCAATGGGAATGCAGTTGTTATTCCTCCATTTATTCGAAGCCACTCGCTCTCCAGAATGGATCAATCCTTGTTTGTACTACTGCTGGATATGTTGTCAGAATTTCCATTCAGAAAGGAAAAATCCTATTTTTCTACATGATTTCCGCTGAGATTTGGTCATCTCCGGTACAGACAGGACCAATAAATCTTGTCGCTGTGGGAGCAAGAGACTCAAAATGCCATCTGATATCACTTGAAGAGGCTTTGACTGAAGAATATTGTGATGTAAGTTCCAGTAGATTGTAGATAAATGTGCACATTATTCCTGTCGCTCTCTTCTATTTTATTTGCTCATGGTAGAATAATGAGTAATTCCCACTATTCTGAATTCTCCAAAGCAGACAGATAATTAGACACTAGATTTAGATTTGCAAATTCTAAATTTACAACATCTAGAGAAACTATATCGCCAAACACCAAAATAAAATGGATAGTCCTTCAACTGATCCACTGTTGAAACAAACACTGGAACACAGGCTCACCATAAATTGAGACTGGTGGGGTGAAATTCTCAAGATCCAACCTCAAGATGCAATCAAATTACTCAATAAATTCATTTTCCTTTCTAGTTCTGATCTCCAGTCCTTATGGTAGCTAACTATCAGGAACTTACTAGAGGAGGCTCTGAAGAACAGCATAGCAACAATCCCTCATACAATTTTGTTTCCAACAAGATGAATCCTGCTTTTGTCAATCACAACCCTCTTGCTGACAGGCCATGATCTATCCTTTTGGTAGGACAACAAAGATAGTATCCATCTGGATCAGATTCAATCAGCTGAAGAGAAATATTTTTTTAACATTACAAGAGATCCAAAGAATGTATTGGACAGAAGGCTTTGAATATTGAACAAGGCTGCAAATCAAAGATGAGGATGTTGAGGTTCTGGAAACCATGGTGGAAGCAAGCTCCTCCTCAGAGGGGGACATGAAAGTGGGAACCAAAACAATGATTCCAATTACTGGTGGGGAGAACTTCAAAACACTTGGTGGTATATTTATACAAATCAGTTCCCATCCCATCAATTTGACAAAATCCACAAATGTCCATCAAAAGATTTTTCACTCCTCACAGTACTACTGCCACGATATGGTGTCTGGGAAAATGTATGTGCAAACCTGAATCCTACATCTGGTGCAAAAACAAAGGCACTGTTCCTCACAATATAAAATCTGACAATCTACTATTGTAGCACCATTTCAAGTACTGTGTGGCCCAATGGTTGCCCCTCCAACTAGTGCACTCCTTGGAGGGAGGTATAGCCCCTCAGAGCGACTAGTAGTAGGAGTGTTCATATCCCATAATTTATGGTTTTGGCCAATAGGTTTTGGCCAACACAGTACCTTTCTTAGTTCACTAGACTATATATAATATTAACATTTTTTAGTACTGTGTGGCCCATTCATTTGTAGATTACTAATTCAAATTTGACGCCACTGCTACTAGCTCCGCAAATAGGAGATTCCTGGTGTTCCAGAAGAATTGGGTATTTGCTTCCAAATTCACCAACATAATCATTGGTTTCTTACCTATTTCCACAGTTATACCTTTAGTAGTAGTAGTAGTAGTAGTAGTAGTAGTAGTAGTAGTAGTAGTAGTAGTTGTAGTAGTAGTAGTAGTAGTAGTAGTAGTAGTAGTAGCAGCAGCAGCAGCAGCAGCAGCAGCAGCAGCAGCAGGAGGAGGAGGAAGAGATTTGTAGATGGACAACCACATTTGTGCTACTACTATTTTAGGATACATTCTCATGGTGGGTAGTGAATATGTATGGAGGATCTGCTACTAGCACATCCAAGAGAGTGTTCTGGACCTCTTCCAACCTTGCGCAACGCTAATTTTGAGAATATGCACCTTTAAAAAAATTAAATTCCTCTGCTTCACTAAATTTATAAAAATACACCACATGATTCAGGGGCATATAATTTCAGAAAGTTTCTGTCCTCTAAGTAGCCTGAATTTCCAAAAACTTCTGATTTGACCAATTGGAATGAAGATTATTTGTTTATTTACTCCTTTCAAGGTTAAGGATATGTTCAGGGGAATCATTTCTGCTCCTTGTTCCTTCCAAGCTGTTTCTTCATCTGCACAGAATTCATCCTGCACTTAATCTGCAATCATTCCTTCTGTATGCTGAACAAAATATTTTTTGTTGCATCAAAACAAAGTTTTGCTCTGCTATCATTGTTACTATTCTTCTCTTTTTTATTGTTATTGTGCATTGCACTACTATCATGCCTCCTGCAATCAGAACCCCTACTATGATTGTATTCTACTGTCGTTGGTGTTGGGAACTAGAAGGGCAGAAATCAAATTTCAAAGGCTTTTGTATAGGCTTGGCCTGCAAGCGCAGTCAAAGATTTTGGGCACTTATTTTGCTCGTAACGACTAGTTTGACTGAAGCAACTACGCACGTACATAATGCATGTGCTCAGTACACAATGCAGATGCTCAGTACTACCACCAGTATGTTGTGTTGACTTTTTAATTTTTTGAATCCCACAACCAAATAGTTTTGCTCCCACGTGCCAATGTTGAATTTTTAATCCCATGAGTCATTACAAAGTAAAAAGATGGCCCATTATCTACACACCATGTTATTTAACAGTATAACTCTTTTAGTCTTGAACTGGCAGTTTGAGCTGTATCTTGCTTAACTATGATAGGCACATGAATTGAATCCCAGTAAAAGAGAATTCTGGTCATATGGGGGAGTTGGGGAGTCCTAGTAGTGAAATATATCAAATATTTGTGTACAAATATAGAATTACAAATGTACCAATGGCACGTCCGGAGTCAGTTGGCTGAGCCAATACAATGAATCTCAATCAACTACTCACATTGCCCTTTCATGTGGCACAGCAGGATTAAAAAGACATATGATCTCACACAATTCAGAATGCTATTCTGTCTACAAATCCCAGGAAGGGATATCAATTTTTCTACTGCAAACATCTATTTCTCCCATTCACCATTCTCCAACTGATTTTGGTCTGACAATGGTCACAAATGGAACAAGTCTGCTGTACCATTTCACTAACCCTAATCATGGACCAAGGCTTTCAGCAAGCAACCTTCACTCCATGCTCAACAGACCTGTCATCCACAATGTCTTTGTCCCAGAAATTGAAACAAATCTTACTGAATCTCACATGGCTGCCTCTGCTCAAGACAACAATGACTTTGGTGGCAAGAGAAACAACAATGACATTAGTAGCAACAGTTACGGTGATGGTGACAGTGATGGCAAATGTACTTCTGACAACAGCATCAACACACCCACAAGAGATATTCCTGACCCTCCTCAAGCCATCCCCTCTGTCACAGTCAACCAATAAAACCATTGATTTCAATCAAAGATAGGAAGAACATCAAAATTCCATGATGCTTCAGCAATCTGCCCAACTTCTTGCAGAGGTTGAACTAATGAACCTAATGACTAAGCACAAACTTCCACTCGCTACATTCACATCACTATGGAAATGGGTACAGAAAAGTCAGAACAGAACAGGATTTGTCTTCCCATTACAGAATGACGATATACAAAGAACTCAGGATTAGCCTTGGTATTTCTGACTTAAAGTTTCACTCACACATAGTTAACTGACTTCCAGACAACAAACCTAGAATACAGGTGTATGTTAGGTCCTATCATGATGCTCTATACTCTCTATTCTCAAATAAGGAGCTTCTTATGAGGGAAGAAAATCTTTCATTTCCTGACTCTACAACTCCTTTGTCTTCATGTAATGAACCAGAGTTCAATGATGATTCTGTAATTTCAGAATTTCACCATGGTACCTGGTGGAAAACCTTTTGGGATGAAATTTGCACCTCTGATTCACAAATTCTTGTTCCCATCATTTTCTACATGGATGGAATATCTCTGGATGCAAGTAGAAGACTACTCACTCTCACATTTCTAATAAAAATGCACTGGGTATTTTCAGTGTTGCAATGTGCACCAAACCAGAAGCTTGGACAACCATGTACTTCCATCCTGACGCAGAATGGGAGTCTACCAGACAATCTTGCCCAGTAATAGCAAAAAAATGTAAACCCTACATCATACTGGGCTTGAAGCAGCTCTCAAATCATTTAGAGGTGTACTATGCAACAAAGATTCTGGAATAAAATGGGACCACCTTTACCTACCGGAACGTATAATTGAAGTTGTTCTCTATTGCATATATTATTGGGGATGCAGAATTGCATGACAAACTTTTAACAAGGGCATGGTTCAAATGTGCAGGCATTCCAATTGAAATTCTTGAAAAATAGTGGCTAGTGTTGTTGGCTTGCATGGAATGCACGCCAGCCATAACAAATTTACATAATTTACGACAGGAAGTACTATAGAGCATAGAAAAACTGTGTAGCAGCGCAGCAGAAAAACACAACATTTTAAGAAAAAGAGATTTTTTGAGCGCAAACATGAAACTTTGCTTCATAAAAAACACCATTCTGCAGCACACATGACTAGTGCTGGTCTCAACATGACAAAAGAAAACAATGTGAGAACCCTAGTATGCTGTGGCAAGGGCCTCCCCAAGCCAGATTACAGTAGGAAGCCCAAGAAGAATACCACCACTGGACCTACTAATAAAGGTTATTACCAAGCCAACAGCAAGTAATATTAGGACTACAAGGCCTTCATCCATAGGTGTTGCAGCAAACAAGGAAACTTTTGTTGCAAAGGATGATCCCAACATAGGAAACAGCAAAGCCACTGCTAATACTTCATCTTCTTCTCACACTCCTGCAGCAACAGACAACCAACAAGAAGAGCTTGCACAAAGAAGGATGGAGGAAACCAGAGGGACAAAAAAACTTCTCCCCCAAAAGTCACAATTGCTTCTACTAGCAACAATAACAATGACACTGCTGTTGATGGCAACAGTGATGCTATTACAGCTGCTCTTCCCATCCAACAAATGATGCTTCAGATGATGCAGCAAATAATGAAGGAACAGCTTGTAAAACAGGAGCAGCAGAGTAAACCACAAAAACAACAGAAGCCACAAGTACTAGACCAGTTGACCTGCAACAAAGAAAACCTAAAAATTTAAGTTATCTTAGTAGCAACAAGTCTGTCATCCTTTCAAAAAGAGACATCAAAGTTTTGAATAATATGCATGACGTGGTGGAAGGGCAACTGAAAAGTTTTGTAAAGAAGCACTGGTAAAACAAGGTGAAGTTCCCTGTCAATAACAGAGTTACCACTCGCATCATGRAGAAAGTAGTGGATATCGAGGGGGTCAATGTTCCAAAAGATATCACCCCAGCAGCTTTCTATGATTTTTTAAAGAAGAAGGGGGTCACAGT